TTCTGAGTCACCACCTCATTAGTCCTGTAATCTTGCTGCTTATCTTTCTGAATTTTATCTGCAGTGGAAGAAGTAATAGCATTTACTGACTGGGCTGTCAACTTATAAAGTGCTTACCACAGTGCATATAGTAAACACTCAGTAAAGGAGCTAATTATTACTCAGTATAAAGAAAGCTTTAAGGTGATAGCTTGATGGGCAGGATGTAACAAAATATGTAGACTAAGAGGCCGGGGATGTAGCTCAATGGCACAGCGCCTGCCTGGCAAGTGTGAGGTCCTGAGTTCGATTCCCAGTACCGGGAAAAAAGTTGCATTTGAGTGTGGAGGCCAAGAGGAAAGAAAAGAGGGCAGATTGAAGGGATGAGTCAGGAAGGATGAGTTAGAGCGAGACAAGCAGCAGGAACTTGAGCCAAGGAGAAATATGAAGCCTCTGTAGATTTGGGGATATGGAGGATTGTGGGATATCTAGGACTGTGGGCCTTGGGATTGGAATAGGCTACATGACCATCCTCCCTGAGCCAAGGGTGAGGAGGAAAGCCTTCTATACTTGTTTGCCCAGGGAAACCCAAGAAAAGGGCTGAAATGAGTAGTGTGGACAGAAATAGCAAGGGATGAAGAAGCTGCACTGGGCTTCTTGGGGAAGCCCAAGCAAGAGACTGACAGGTGCAGGATAGGCCATGACATTGGACAGGAAGTGTCGGGGGAACGCTCCAAGCCAAACCTTCCTGAGCCATTAATTATAAAGCAAAAGCAAAACTAAATCTTTTTTAAAATTAATTTTATTGGTACATTTTAGGTATACAATATAATGACATTCATCATTGGAAATTTGTACCTTTACATAATCTCTCTTGGTTCTTATTTTTTCCCCTTCCCCTGCCCTCCCTATTTACAAAGACTTTGTTTCCATTTTTTCATTTTCTCATATTAATTCCATTCCTTTCTTTCCTTTTCCCTACCCCTCCCACTTCCCCTCCCCCTTTGCCCCTTTTCTTCCTCTTTCACTCGATCTATTATAAAACTAAAACTTTATACTCTTAAAATCTTGACTGGCTGGGTGTGGTGGCGCATGCCTGTAATCTCAGTACTCTGGAGGCTGAGGCAGGACAATCACTGCAGGTTCAAGACCAGCCTGGACTACATATTGCATTTAAGGCCGACCTGAACTGCATAGTGACCCTATCTCAACAAGCAAACAAACAACAACAAAAATAACTAATGGTCAACCGGAACACCCATCTGAACTGAATCAGTGTGGTTTGGGCATTGAAGACTCACCTGAGGATTGTTGCCAAAGGCATAAAAAGAAAATTGAAAGGAAAGAGCATAGGCTTTTTTTTTTTTGTATTAAATTCTCTCATTGGTACATTGTAGGTATACAACACAATTACATTTCTCATTGGGAATTGTACCTTTACATAATGCATCTTGGTTCTT